AGGAAGATAGTTATGATAAAATAATCGAACCTCAACATATGGTGATAAGAAATAATTGCCTTGCCTTGCTTTTCTGATTTACATTCTAAGGTCATGGTCATATGTACATTTATTATTTAGTTTTCTTTTTATTTACTCAAATAGAATACATTGAAGGAAATGGTATAGAAGTTTGTCAAAAGAAACAATTACATGACTCTTATATAGATAAATAATCAGATTGAGAATGTTCTTTTTGTCTTTTAAACAAAAATAAATTCACATGAAGTTTAGTTCAGTTATAAAAATATTTCTATAGATTTCCTTTTCTTGAGACATGATTTATGCCTTAGTCTACGTATTTCCGCTATAAGCTGACTGGTTTTAATTAATATTAACAGTTGGTTTCTTCTGTTCGTATCTGTTTATTTAGAAGAAAACATTTCCATCTTATATGATGTTCCTTGCTGATTAGAATAATAAAACTTGCTATACTATTAAGATATTAGATATCCTATTGCAATCAAAAAAAAAACACATATATATATAAATATAAACAGAAAAAGATTTTATTGAAACGAAAAAAAAAAAACAAAAATATTAACATTGATCTACTTTCCAAAAAAATTCATCTTTCAAAAAAATCAATTTTTGTATATTGTTCACAGATTTTATTTGGTGATGATGATGATGTATTATTTGATAATATATATGGATGAACAAATTTAATACATTTTATTGAACGCATTTTTATTAAACCAATAATAAGTATAATTATAATTAATAAAGCACCAATAAGTAAACTAATAAATATAAATGATAATGATAAAAATGATTGATTTAAACGGATAAAAATTGATGTTTGTATACATCGTTTTTGTTGACAAATATAACCATTAGGACATGTTTCAATTGATTTTTCATTTATACATTCAGATAATTCACAATAAAACATATTATTTAAAAATCTACGTTGTATACCTAATGGACATTGACAATTATAATCAATTTTACCTGTATAAATTTGATCAGAAATTCGACATATACGACGACAACGTTCTGGTGTTAAAGAACAATTTGAACTAAGTTCTGTATCAATACAAATATTTTCATATATTTCTAAATTATTTTGATATGAACGACATTGACAAGTATTTGTTAATGATGAACATTCATATAATTTTGAATGTCTACATTTATTTTGACATGATGAATTAATTATTTGTTCAAATTCAATATGAATATGAAATATTTCTGATATAAAAAGATTTTCTTTTATATCTAAACGACAATTTTTTAAAGATATAATTGATTGTTTAAAATAAGCACCACGTATTGGAATAAATATTGATGAATTATATTCTTGATAATTAAGTGATACAGTTTTTATACGTGTTGATTCACTTGTTCGAATTGATATATTTGACTATTAAAACAAAAAAAAAAAATTTACTTTTATAATATGTAATTTGAATATTAAATGAAAAGAGATAGAAACAGTTTCAGAAAATACAAAATACTGTCCGGTAGGAGATGTTACATATGCATATTACTCATATTCAATCATAGATCAATGTCAGTTATATCAATTATTAATAATATACGTCAATAGATCTGAATTGTTCCGGAATGAATAATGTCTTTATGTGTTGTTCGTCCCCGAAAGAATTAATATTGAGATTTTTGTATGTTACAATGACCTATTTTTTATGATTTATGAGATTTCAAATTAAGTATGATTATATTGGTAAAGATTAAAAATTTTTATTGATATTTACCATTCTTAACAATTTCCTTATATAGAAAATATTTCTATAATTCAAGTAGGACAAAAACAAAGAAAGAATTTTTGTCTATATAGACTATTTCATACAATTCTTCGTATTATACCTGAATGTGTTATTCGAGAATATATAATAATTTATATTTATTGCCATAGGAAAAACAATGTCATTTTTTGCTTTTAATAGTTGTAATAGATTCATACGTAAGCAGACAAACAAATACTTTCACCCATTATACATTAGAATATAACATATCGTAACCTGTTTGTTAAACCCTCAAGCAATTCCATAGTGTACATAGAAGAAAATAAAAGCAACAAATGAATATACAAAATGTATTCATTTTCACATGTTTGTTTTTTGAATTGCTTCTTACACCTATCTTACGTAGTGATTCGATCAATGAATAATAAAATGTCATATTCGTAACATTTTTAATTCACGACTTAATCATTATTCGAGAACATGTTGAAAAGTTGATTGATGATCGAACAATGAACTATCTCGGTTTTACACTTCAGGAATAAACACCTTGTATTGAGAGCTCGTTGTGTTGGTCCCGAACTCGAGTCTGAGTCTGAAAATCTATCATTCATCGGGTCCGAGTTCCAAAGTTGTTCAATAGATTGAGTTCGGATCTGATGGGCTTTATTCGTATTTGCATCATTTGTCTAACTTACACGAATATCGACAATGGTAAATTCACAATCAATTGGTGCATAAATACGTTTACTTTGTGAACATTGAAAAAGAAGAGGTACAGGTACTAGATAAGTATCTGCTAGACGATAGATAATACCAATAGAAAGTGATGAAAATGATTGATTAGATAATCCATATAATGGTTGAACAATTAATGATGTTTGTGTATTATCAAGTTGAAATATATTTGAATGTCTTTGATAAAATGTTTGAAGAAATCGACAATTATAAAATAATTCTCCATGATTAAATTGTATAAAATATAGACTAATAAACAGATAAACTAAAAATTTCATGATTCAATGATGTGATTGTCAACTATATTTTCTTTATATTGTCTTTCCTTTTGTCAAACATATAATTGAATACACCTTAGCCGTTATGTTTATTCTTCTACTTGAATATACATACATATATATATGAAAATTTAAGCCGGATGTTATTTTTCATCGAATCGAAACAAAAAAGAAAGAACAATAGAAAGAATACATATATGTTATTGTATTAATTTAGAAAATCATAAACAAAGAATTTCATATTAAATAATAAGATTCTCATCAATAATATAACAAAAAAAAAAAAAAAGAATTCATCATAGCAGCATATTCAAATTAAATCAACTTTCATTCTTTAGTGTTGTTCATTCAAATCAATTAACTCATCGACTGTTTTTTTTTTCTTCGTTTGTTTTGATTTTAATGGATAGTTATTTGAATATTTTCAAATATCGTCCATATAAGACATGTTGATCGATCATCATCATCATCGAAATGATGAATGATAATGCAATGGAGATATATCCCCAAAAGATTCATTATTGAACACGATTAAATCATTACATTTAATATGATAAAAAAAAAAAAAAAGAAAAGACGTGTTCATATCATCTATTTTCTTTTTTTATATTTGATTTATTGAAATAGTATGAAGTTATATTTGATAAACTATATATGAACGTTCATCTATATCTTTTTTTTTTGTACCCGTCGACTTATTCAATATTATGTATATGCATAAAATTAATAAAGAATATAAGAAATAGAAATTCAGCATGTTATTTCTTTGATTAGTCTCCGAATGAAAATATAGAAAGACGTGTCGAATTCATCTTACGAAGAAAGACTCCCAGCCGATTAATCACTTTTGAGTGCAGAACTATGTCGCACTTGATATGAAAATTTAGTTATGTTTAGAATACGTGAACTAATTTCAAAAAAAGACAATTTATAAAATAAACTTATAGTCAACATTATAAATAAAACATTTTAATATTTTCTCTTCTTTTATTATGTTATCAAAAATCCATCAACTATGATTATACATCATATACTATTGATTATAATATTTAGACAACAAAATTTAACTTTCAATTTTATTACTGCTGACAACCATTCATTATGTT